GACCCCCCACACTGAGATCTGCTCCCCCAAGACACATCCATGACATGACCCCCCACACCGAGATCGGCACCTGCAAGACACTTCCATCCTCTGACCTCCCACACTGAGATCTGCTCCTCCAAGACACTTCCATCCTCTGACCCAAACCATGGTCTGCTCCCCAGGTAACAGTTTGTAGGCAGTGAGCCCAGATGAGGATGACAAGTGAACAGTCTTAATATCTCTGAGGTTGCTATTATTAGGAAACACTCCTGATCTCCAGGTGTGGATGAAGACATCTTATTGGTCAGGAATTCTCTGCACCTGAATTCGGCGCTCCGTCCACCTTTCCTCTTAGAGATTTCATTGACTTGTCTACAATATGGAGAACGCAGAAACCGGAGCTGTAGGAGTAATAACGTTATATTTGGAGTTCATGTGAGACGGACTTCTTAAATGTGTCCTTGTGACCGGCACTCTGCACTCTCTCAGCTAATGTTCCTTCAGTCACTGAGACATTTCCACCCAACATAACTGTCCCCAGCCAAGAACCAACATGGCGGTATCCCAACACCATAGCCAATATTTGACCAACGTTCTTTCCTTTTCATTGGACACAGTTCTTTATTGAAAACAAATGCTAAGAGCAAAACCCCAATTTCTGCATGAAGACCCCTTAATCAGGTAACAGAATAATCAGCGACATTATTGGTGTTGGTGCTCACCCACTTCTACCCCAATCCGAAAACAACAGTGTCCAGGAAAAAACCCAACATGGTGGTCTCCAATCAAAGACCAACATGGTGGTCTCCAATTAAAAAACAACATGGTGGTCTCCCCAACAAAATCCAACATGGTGGTCTCCAATCAAAAACCAACATGGTGGTCTCCAGTCAAAGACCAACATGGTGGTCTCCAATCAAAAACCAACATGGTGGTCTCCAATCAAAGACCAACATGGTGGTCTCCAATCAAAAACCAACATGGTGGTCTCCAATCAAAAACCAAAATGGTGGTCTCCAATCAAAAACCAACATGGTGGTCTCCAATCAAAAACCAACATGGTGGTCTCCAGTCAAAGACCAACATGGTGGTCTCCAATCAAAAAACAACATGGTGGTCTCCAATCAAAGACCAACACGGTGGACCCCATTATAACCCGATCTCTCACAGAAACAATAAAATCCAATGACCATCCAGTCAGGAATTATTAACGGGGGGAGGGGGAGACACGATCGTCCTGACTCAGAGAATTCATCAGTCACAGGCGTCCGCGCAGATTCCGTTCGCCATTACACCGTTATGACATCAGTGACTCGGCGTCCCTGCAAGACGGACAAATCCTTGAAACCTGGACAACAGTACAGAGCTCTGCGGCTCCTTATTCGTTTATACGGCGAGTCATTCATCACTCTCACAAACGAGCCCTGAACTCGGAGAATCCATCTTCATTGCGGGAGCCTTGAAGAGAACATCGCTCGCCCCGTCTCGGAGAAGTAGCGCGGGGCGGCGGCAGCTTACCTTCATCCAAATCAAATCATCTCCTGTCGCAACAAATGCCCCGCGGTCTGTACGGCGCGCCGGCTTCTCAGGAGGGAACTTTCCTCATAAATCTTCCCGCGTTATATTCCGGAGATTTCACATTTACATTTCCGCCTTGTATTCATTTTATGGAAAATGAAACCTTCGCCATACACAGAAGAGAGAACAGCCGCATATTATATGAGGAGGAGTATTGTATTATGAAGATCGACCCCTCAGGGAAGATACAATATTTATACTTCGTGTACATGAGACCGGCAATCCGTGGCGAGATCAGCCAAGGTCACCGAGGAACCGACAAAACTATGACGATGGCGTGCTGTCCTCCCCATCCACTGACCTTGGCAGCACAAGCCTCCATCACCACCGGCCTAATCGCCTTCATCAGAGACACCGTGTAAAATTCACCAACCATTATCCAACATGGCGGACCATCATGACCCAATACTAAACTCCCAACTGGGAAGCTTCCATGGCAAAATTCATAAAGCAACATTGTCCAGCACGGAAGCCGCCCAGGAGAACCTTCTACAGATCACTTGTATCCAAACAAGAAACTGTTCTATATGTGTTCTGACCAATCAGAATGATCCCATGGTGAAAACAAGAAAGTCCATAACATGAGCAAGCTGAGACGCCACAAAGATGAGCAATCCACACAGACCAACTGAGCAATGTTCTCACCATTCAACACCGTCCAACCAGGAGAAGGTCTCAGCCCCAGGTCAGCAGTGTGAAGATGATCTGACCAATCACATTGTATTCAATAGATGATTAGTACACCTCATAAGCTGGTCTTCTTATTATCAAGCTGAACCTACAGCCAAAGGTAGAGTAGGGAGGGGACATCTGACAGGGGTTCTAACCTCAAAGCTTTGGCCGGAGATACATTTCATTCTCAGCTTTAGTTGTCACAATCACGATTCTCCTGAACTGACGTTGTGACTCTCTGACTTTCTTCTCAGCAATATCCACAGAGATACAATGGAGGAAAATGTGCCACCATCGCACCTCACGTGTCATGCCAGCCGAACCCGCTAATTATGGAAGGAAGAGGATCGCCTTACCTGGGTGACCTTCTCCGTGACATTGTGGGTTCGGTCCTTTAGCTTGGTGGGAGCAATGATCTCCTTCTCATTGGACGGTGAGGTGAGGAAGGAGTCTCCCTTAAAGTCCACAAAGTTCAGGGTGATCTGCGGGATCTTACTGATTGTTCTGTACTTCATGAGATCCGAATCTGAGGTGGAGTTTAAAAGATTCACCCGGACGTTGTTCATGGCACCTGCAGAGACAAGAGCGCATTAACACCGTTCACCCGACTCACAGCACAATCACATTCCAAGATCCCTCATAGTCCGTTCTCCACCTCCAACGTGGGCCTATGTGACCACTGGATCAGGTCAGAGAGATCCCCATCTTGTGGAACACATCTATGGAAGACTAACCAATCCGAGCCAATGTAGATGGCAACGATCCCACCAGCCAACGATCCCACCAGCCAATGATCCCACCAGCCAACGATCCCACCAGCTAATGGTCCCACCAGCCAACGATCCCACCAGCTAACGGTCCCACCAGCCAACGATCCCACCAGCCAACGATCCCACCAGCCAACGGTCCCACCAGCCAACGGTCCCACCAGCCAACGGTCCCACCAGCCGATCTCACCAGGGGATCTCTCTGATCCCACCAGCCAATGATCCCACTACAATCCTCTGTTTGGTTACATACCTCTAAGACCCCCATATGTCTCATTTACTAACATTGGACAATTGGTGGACGAGCTGCATGGCAGATATATCCATGGGGACCTAGTCCTGGAGTCATTTCCCCACAGTCACCAATCAGACTTTCCGGACGGGTTTAATGGTGACCGAGGGACCCCGGAGAAGTAGTTCTAGTACATGAGGATACATAGGGGCCCCTCGCTGTATAGGGATTGGTAAGATTAGTGTTTGGTTATACAGGAACCTCCTCCTACACCAGAGGAATCTGCAGGTCACATTGTGCAGCACTGACGAGGAGAGAACTGTAACCGCTGCCAGTGTTTATGTTTTATTGAAGTCTTTGTTCCATTGGGGAGATTTCCCGTCACTTCCTGTCCTACAGACACTGCAGGAAGTGAGAATAGATCTCTCCACCAAATAAAACCATGTGACCAGTACAGAGCGACATCCACAGGACCTCATAGAACCCAGCCAGCCCTCCACCGAGCTATTGGAAACCGGTCCCCTGAATTCTGTGGTTGAGTGTAACGGGCTGGGAATTGCCTGCAATGGGTCTCTAGGTCTGTGCATTTCACTATGAGAGGACTGTATGTTCCTGGTATGGTGGGGTATAAATGCTGGGGTATGTTCCTGGTATGGTGGGGTATATATACTGAGGTATGTTCCTGGTATGGTGGGGTATAAATAATGGGGTATGTTCATGGTATGGGGGGGTATATATACTGGGTATGTTCCTGGTATGGTTGGGGTATGTTCCTGGTATGGTGGGGTATATATACTGAGGTATGTTCCTGGTATGGTGGGGTATAAATAATGGGGTATGTTCCTGGTATGGGGGGGTATATATACTGGGTATGTTCCTGGTATGGTGGGGGGTATATATACTGGGTATGTTCCTGGTATGGCGGGGTATATATACTGGGGTATGCTCCTGGTATGGTGGGGTATATATACTGGGGTATGCTCCTGGTGTGGTGGGGTATATATACTGGGTATGTTCCTGGTATGGTGGGGTATATATACTGGGGTATGTTCCTGGTATGGGGGGGTATATATACTGGGTATGTTCCTGGTATGGGGGGTAT